CATATAAAAACCTGAAGGTTTTTTTCTGGTGCATTTAGAGCACAAAAGAGATGGTCTTTCATTGCTGCTTGTACTGGGCACAGCATTTACAGTTCTACTGCCTTGCTACATGGATGTCCCATGTGGCCATCATGAGTAACAGTCCTTGACAGACCACAAAGTTGTCCAACCTCCTTTCTTTAAAAAGATGGTTTTTAAACCATCTTTGTTGGGGTTCATCTACGTGGTCTCATTATTTTATCAACCACATACACAAATGCCACCGGTTTCTTTCTCAAATAAAAAGCGCTAAATGCTACAGCCTTTTCTTGTAGGAAAGAGCCAGCGTTAGAGTGTCAGAATGAAGGGACTTAGGAACAACTGTCCATTTATCCTTGAAGCTCAATGGGTAACTCTGGGCCACTGACTCACTCTCTAAGCCTAACCTTCCTCACAGGGTTGTTGTGAGTACAAAACACAAGGAGAGCCTTGCCCTGACCTGAATAGCCCAGGAAAGCCCGATCCTGGAAGTTAAACAGGGCTGATCTTGGCAAGCACTTGGAAGGGAGACCTCCAAGGAATACCAGGGCTGAGACACAGAAGCAGGCAATCAAGCCAGCTCTCTGAAACGTTGAACGTCACCATGACTTCCAGGCATGCAAGCACAAACACACACACACACAGAGAAAACCCCCCACAAAAATACAAGGAGAGACTTGAAGAAAGAGTGGGATAAAAATCAGATAGGGAAGGTGCCCCAGCCCTTGATCATGTGTTTGTCTTTTCCGGCATCCTTTCTAAGAAGCAGGAAATTAAGTTCAGGGAGGGAGCTGTGTTGATCTCGATGAGGATCCCCACCCTTCTGAGAAGAGGTGAGCGAGCCCTCTGATCCAGCCACCGTTTCCCCCCGACAGCCCTTTTACAACGAGATGCGTCCGTCCATACGATGCCAACGGCCAATCATGCAGCCCACGCCTGACTTAATTAATTACTCAACTTAATTACTTCTGGCAACACTTAATTGCACAGTTAATTAGTTATGTGACCCGGGATACAGCATGATCAGACCTTGCAGAACGGCTTCCTGCTTCTGTGCTCCTCTTAAACACGACCCTCTCCGCTTGTGCTCTGCTAAGGCTACGTCCGAGTGCGAGCCAGCTTCGGAAACGTCTCTCCCCAAACTTCGGGTTATGCAATTCAACTTTTCAAGCCACAATTTCTGCTTGAGGAAAATGCTCCCGGCGGGACTGGCTACAGGTCTAGAGGGACACTGGGCGAGACGACCTTCAGCGACCCCTGTCCTCTCAATGTTGTCCATGCAAACACAGTACACAAAGTTGTGCACGCACACACGTTTTCCCCTTCATTCTCTTCTAAGCCCGCTGCTGCATGGTAGTAGGTCAGGGTGGTGGGTCCGATGCCCACGGAAGCTGCCCAGTAACGCCAACCCCTGACTTGCCTCACCTCAAGGCCTACCCCACCACCACCAGTGTTTTTCTCATGTCTGGATCACAGTCCCCTTACCCGGAAGGACTTCTCCTGCAAGTTGGCATTGGAGAGCTTCAAGATGACCGCAAAGTTAATGGGTTTGGAACTCATGCGGCCCGGTTTCTTGTTGAAGTCCACCTGCTGGAAAATCTGCAAGGAAAGGACATGGTTACCTCTTGGTATGTGTGCAACCCCATCACCGCGCATGATTTTTTACAGACTGCTGCAAGCAGGAAGAACTGAGGTCCCTCGTCCCCAGACTTACAGTCCAAAATAAACAAAAGGGAGAGAGAAGGATAAGAATGGGGTACGTGAGAGCGAGAAAACAGCTGAGCAAACGAAACAAAAAAGGGGTCGCAGCAAGGCAGACTGATGCAGCCTCATCAGTCCAATGGCAATATTTCCTGGCACGTACGCGGCAACTTGCATTCCCTACCTTGGGTAATCTACAGGTTGAGAGCCAGTTAGGAGCGCGGACTCTAATCGGGGAGAGCGGGTTTGATTCCCCACTCCTCCACATGCAGCTGCTGGGTGACCTTGGGTCAGTCACAAGTTCTTTCAGAGCTGTTCTCACAGGAGCAGTTCTCTAGAGAGCTCTCTCAGCCTCTCCTACCTCACAGGGTGTCTGTTGTGGGGAGGGGAGGGGAAAGGAGACTGTAAGCCCTTCCCCCTCCTTCCCCCCTCCCCTTCCATCTCTGCATGGTACTAAGACCAGGACAATGTGGCTGAAAGATGTCACAGAGAACACACCCCTCCAAGCTAAACTTCTGAAGAAGTCAGAGATGGCCTGCCCATCAGAAGCATGACAGCTCTGCAGTGTGCCACTTGGGAGACTATTTTTTGGTTTACTTATACCACACTTTCCTCTCTAACAGGGACCACGGGTGGCTTTACAGCATCACTCACTTCTGCTCCAGCTTATCCTTGCAGCTGCAACCCTGTGAGGCGCATTAGGTGAAGAGAGTGTGATCGGATTAAGGTGACCCACCACAGCAGAGTGGGGATTCGAACCTTGGGTCTCCCAGTCCCAGATCCTAGCGCAGCACTCTAACCACCACACCACAGATGTTCAAACTCTGCCCCCCCCCTCGGCAAAGCTAAGGCATGTCTGGGTGTGATCGACATCTGGATGGGAGATCCCCTGGAAAGCCCCTCTGTGGGTTCCCCTCACAGAAAAAAAAGGGTGGATTTCAAATAAACCAAATGGCTTCCAGGCTTCTCCAACATGACAGTAAAAGCTCAGGCAGGTACCAGAGAGTCACACAATCCACAGTTACCTTCATAACCACCCTGGGAAATTTTGAAAGCGCGCAAAGTTTCCCAAAAAGCAACCCTGGTAAGGTTTGTAGCCAAGAAGAAGAGAAGAGGTTTGGATTTATACCCCGCCCTTCACTACCCGAAGGAGTCTCGGAGAGGCTTACAATCTCCTTTCCCTTCCCCTCCCCACAACAGACACCCTGTGAGGTAGGTGGGGCCGAGGGAGCTCTCTTGAGAACTGTCCTTGAGAGAACAGCTCCGAGAGAACTTGTGACTGACCCAAGGTCACACAAGCAGCAGCATGTGGAGGAGTGGGGAATCAAACCCGGCTCTCCCAGGTTAGAGTCTGTGCTCTTAACCACTACACCCAACTGGCTATTCAAGAAAGGTGTTCAAGCTCAAATCTGAACCAAACAGGTTGGCCTGTACACAAAAGTGATACCTTAAGCACTTCTTCAGACCCTTCGATGGCCTCCCATCTGGTGGAGGGGTCTCTACATCAGGAAGGTTTATACTGCAATAAAAGTGTGCCTTTAAAATCCCTCAAGACACCTCTTTTATTTTCACTGCAACAGATCAACACCGCTGCCCCTCTGGGATTGTTATTTTTAAAAAAACAAAACAAAAACCCTTTAAACAATTAATTCCACCAGCCACGTGTTTGAAACGCCGCATGGCACCAAGAGAAGGGGGTCAGTAGTCACATGGCTACTAGTCACGATGGATATCCTTTCCCTTCAGTATCAATTCAGGTGGGCAGCCGTGTTGGTCCGAAGCAACGGAACAAAGTTTGAGTCCGGTGGCACCTTTAAGACCAGCAAAGTTTAATTCTGGGGATACGTTTTTGTGTGGCACGCACACTTCTGACGAAGAGTGCATGCCAACACGGAAGCTTGTTCCCAGAATTAAAACTCTGTCCGTCTTAAAGGTGCCACCGGACTCAAACTTTGTTCTTCCGTACCAAAGGCCTCTTTATGTCAGTTGCCGGGGACCACAGGCGGAAAGATGCTGTTGGACTCATCCTGCTTGTGGGCTTCCAAGAGGGAACTGGTCAGCCACTACGTGAACAAGAGTGCTGGACCGGATGGGCCCTTGGTCTGATGGCTCGTCTTACGTCCTTAAGGGAGTCTGGTTCAAGAAATGAGCCCAAACTCTCCTTGGACTTGCAGACCTATCTGCCTGGTTCGCCACCGGCTGCGTGGCACCAGCAGGGGAAACATTAAAGGTAAAGGTTTCCCTTGCTCGAAAGCCAGTCGAATCCGACTCTAGGATTGCGGTGCTCATCTCCGTTACCAAGCCGAAGAGCCAGCGCTGTCCAAAGACGTTTCCGTGGTCATGTGGCCGGCATGACTAAACACCAAGGCGCATGGAACGCTGTTACCTTCCCACCGAAGGGGTACCTTATTTATCTACTTGCAATTTCTTGCTTTCGAACTGCTAGGTTGGCAGGAGCTGGAACTAGAGATGGGAGCTCACTCCGTCATGCGGCACCTGGGTCTCGAACTGCTGAACATTAGTGGGCTGCAATTCCTCAGTCTTTGAGAACCGTCGTTCCTCCCTTCTCCGTGTCCTGAGGCCACTAGGGAGGCTCAGCGGGGCAGGTCCCCCGCATCCATCAGTGACGAGAGGCTTCGGCCATTTAAAGTGTCAGTTGTGTGTGCAATTTGGGGAGGGGGAGCCTCTCCGAGCAACACAGGGTTAACCTCCTTTCTCTTCCCACAATCCCCAGGGGGGGAAAGGAGATGATTTTAAATTGGCATGCCAGCATTCTCCTCCACGGGGCGGGGGGTGGAGGATGGACGGACGTTTCCACCTTGTTTACCCACATTTGCCTTCCAGCGCTGGAGCCGAACGCAGCTCCTCTCGCCGGAACCAATGCCTGTCACCCCGGCGAAAATTAAGTAATAATAACTGAAAGGCAGAAACGCGACGGAGATGGCAGCAGCGAATCAGAATCCAAACGCCTTCGCCCCTCTCCAGGTTGGCCCACCGCTACTCCTACCTCGACCCACCAACCATGCCGGTTCTAACTTCCGACACGCACCCCGCCCTTCTCCAAAGAGGAGAAGGAGCCGGGGGCAAGTGCTCGGTGCGCCAGAGCAGCAGAAGTTGCTGTCAAGGCACATCACAGAGTCAGCTCTCATTTCCAGTGGCAGGGGCTTGGGGAATTCTGGCGCCTGGAGGGACCGCGCGAGACATTCACGTTGTCATCGCGGTGGTGACAAGGGCAGGGGGAAAGGAAGGGGGAGGGAAGGAAAGAAACTGAGGAGGGTTATTTTCTTTCGACTGCACAAGGTGGGGACGGCAGAGGGAGGAGGTAGAAGAAGAAGAGGAGAATAAAAGATTGGATTTGTACCCCACCCTTCACTTGGAGTCTCAGAGCGGCTTACAGACTCCTTTCCCTTCCCCTCCCCACAACAGACACCCTGTGAGGTAGGCGGGGCTGAGAGAGCTCTTTCCAGAACTGTCCTTGAGAGAACAGCTCCGAGAGAACTTGTGACTGACCCAAGGTCACACAAGCAGCTGCATGTGGAGTGGGGGCTCAAACCCAGTTCTCCCAGATTAGTGTCCGCACACTTAACCATTACACCAAGCTGGCTCTCAGGGAGCAGACACTGTGTTTGCCAGACAAGCTGACAGGACCGAAAGGAGTGGAGAAATAAGTCTGAATTACAGATTCAAGGTTTGGAAGAAAAGTAAAGTTGCAATTATAACACAACGGGAACAAGGAACTGGGAACCAACTTCGGCCTCCTGCTGACCGGTATTCTCAAACCGGCAATGGCTCTCTGGAGTCTCAGGCAGAGGTCTTTCACATCACCTACAGTCTGGTCCTTTTAACCAGAGATGCCAGGAATTGAACTTAGGACCTTCTGCGTGCAAAGCGGAGGCTCTTCCACTGAGCCTCAGCCCCTCTGGCTAGCTTGAAGGGCCTAACTCGGATCCTCCAGGCTCAAAGGAGTCTGTTAAGTGCCAGGAACCAGAATGGGAAAACAGAAGTTTCTAATTCCTAGGAGGCTAGGCTCATTTGACCTGCAGCGCTTCGCAAACATTTTATAATGTGCGTCATTGGACATTTTATTCTAATTGTCTTGTCATTAGCATCTTGCATCAGGGCTGCATTGGGGGGGGATATTTACATTTGTGTGCGTGTGCGTGCCCATGCCTGGAAGTCATGGCGACCTCTGACGACTCCGACTGGGGCACGGAGGACATTCAGAGAAGTGGCCTGATCTCCCATCTCCATCAGAGCTGCATTTTGTACATAAGAACATCAGAGAAGCCACTGTTGGATCAGGCCAATGGCCCATCCAGTCCAACACTCTGGGTCACACAGTGGCCAAAAATACCAGGTGCCATCGGGAGGTCCAGCAGTGGGGCCAGGACACTAGAAGCCCTCCCACTGTTGACCCCCCCCAAGCACCAAGATGACAGAGCATCACTTGCCCCAGAGTCCCTATCTATACCTTGTGGCTAATAGCCACTGATGGACCTCTGCTCCATATGCTTATCTAATTCCCTTTTGAAGCCGTCCATGCTTGTAGCTGCCACCACTTCCTGTGGCAGTGAATTCCCCGTGTTAATCACTCTTTGGGCGAAGAAGTAAAATGAACACCCAGGCAAGCACCAAAAAGGTGCAGACCTACCTAACTTTAACAAAGCACCCAGCCTTACATTCCCACCAGACCATGCGAGGAGATAAATTTAAAGGTAGACCAAACACTGGGGACTTCCTAGAAGACCTTTGGAAGTTCAGCAACAGAAGAGTGGAGTTATTTAGCTAATAGCCCAAAAATATTTTAAAAGCTTCTGGCTTATTTTCCCCCCCTTTTCTTAAACATGCCTTTCTATAAAAGGACCCAAACGGAGTACTGCAACTGCAAAACGGGCTTC